ACTAAGGGCTACAAAGTAAGACTCTGTCTCAAAAAAAAAAAGACAATTTTGGCAAATTACTTCCCATTTCTGACCCTTAGTAAATATGATTGGAATAGATGATCTTTAAGATGCCTTCCAGTGCTGACATTGTATGATTCACCATGATGAACTTTATTCCAGTTTGAAATTTTTATTTTATAGTTCTGGGAATATATACCTTTCATAAAGTAAACTTGGCTGATGGTCTTTAATGGGGTTCCTTTCTACCAAACTTAATGGGCATATTGTGTTTTGCTTCTGTAGTGGATTTAAAAAAGAGTTTGGGCCAGGTGCAGTGGCTCATGCCAGTAATCTCAACACTTTGGGAGGCTGAGGCAGGAGGATCACTTTGAGTCCAAAGTAGGACACAAGCCTGGATGACATAGTGAGACAGAATTTAGCTGGGCATGGTGGCACAAGCCTGCAGTCTCAGCTACTTGGGAGGTTAAGGTAGGAGGATTGCTTGGGCCCAGGAATTTCCCCAAAGATAATTGGAGAAAAGCAAAGTTTGAATAAACCAGGGGTGACATGCAGCAGGGGAATGAATAAGAAGGGGCAAACTTCTTGTCAATTAGAACATAGGTCTGGTTTATTAAAAAATTTATATATGTATGTGTGTATCATTTAATATTATAGCTTCTTTTTGTGATATGTTGAAGACAGTTTAATTAGCAGGAGTTAAATTTTTTTGTTTCTAGTTTTTTAAATTCACAGACCCTGGAGCAATACTACCAGGGTTTGGATCTTAGCTCAACCATTTACTAGTGTGTGATTTGGGGCAAGTTATTTTGTGCCTGTTTCCTCATCTACAAAATCGGAATCATAACCTACCTCTTAGGATTGTTTGTGAATATTAAATAAATTGATATTTGTAAAACCCTTACAATAGTGCCTGGCTTAGTTATACTAAGTGCTATTATTATTATTTTAACCTATCTACATAATTTTTTTTTTGTTTGGGTTTTTTTTTTTTTTTGAGACAGAGCCTCAAGCTGAGCCCCTGGGTAGAGTGCCATGGCTTCACTGCTCACAGCAACCTCCAACTCCTGGGCTCAAGCGAGTCTCCTGCCTCAGCCTCCCAAGTAGCTGGGACCACAGGCACCCGCCACAACGCCCGGCTATTTTTTTTTTTTGGTTGTAGCCATTATTGTTGTTTGGCGGGTCCAGGCTGGATTTGAACCCGCCACCTTAGGTGTATGTGGCTGGCACCTTAGCCGCTTGAGCCACAGGCGCCGAGCCTATCTACATAATTATTATATTAAGGCCTAGGATATAATTTGAACATACCCTAACTTAAAGGTGATATGCTTAATGTAGAAGAAAATCACATGTTGTGGCAAATAATTATTCTTTATAGCATATAGAAAAGAACCCATATTCCCTAGGAATAAACACAATGAGGGGATTGCATGATATATTCCAGTTTACATGGAGTAAGTTATATTTTAAGCATAGTTGCAGTCTTAGGGACTGAGAAAAAATTAAATATTTGTAAATGTGTTTGTTATGGGCCACAGTATCAAAACATCCATGAGATTGAATGTTTAAGCAGATTGCTTTTTAAAAAAATATTAGTATGTATAAAATGTATATTTTCTTCTGTTTCTTAGAATCTGAATTATCCAGAACAGAAAGTTGTGACTGTTGGACAATTCAAAATTGGTTTGATCCATGGACATCAAGTTATTCCATGGGGAGACATGGCCAGCTTAGCCCTGTTGCAGAGGCAGTTTGATGTGGACATTCTTATCTCGGGACACACACACAAATTTGAAGCATTTGAGCATGAAAATAAGTTCTACATTAACCCAGGTTCTGCCACTGGAGCATATAATGCCTTGGAAACGTGAGTAGTATATACACTTTGGGAATTTAGAGGCTTTAGTAAATTTAAAAATTGCATGTGCAACATTTCACAAAAGAGAAATGTGGCTGGGCAGGTAGTGGCTGATGCCTGTAATCCTAACACTTTGCAAAGCTAAGGTGGGTGGATTCCCTTAGCTCAGGAGTTCGAGGCCAGTCTAAGCAAGAGTGAGATTCCCTATCCCTAAAAAAAAAAAAAAAGAAAAGTCAGGTATTGTGTGGGTTCCAATAGTCCAAGCTACTTGGCAGGTTGAGGCAAGAGGATTGCTTGAGGCCAAGAGTTTGAGGTTGCTGTGAGCTGAGACGCTATCGCATCCCACCAAGGGTGATATAGTGAGACTGTCTCAAAAGAAAAAATTAAATGAAAAAAGAAACGCAGCTATTTAATTCTAGCCTTTTTGGCAATCTTTTGGTAATTGTTCTTTTTAATATGTTACAGATTCTTCTTGAATCCAAATTGTCATCTTAAACTGAAATTTGTGGTGCTGCTGCTTTTTAGTACAAAACACTGACATTATTTATTTTTTCTTCTAGAAACATTATCCCATCATTTGTGTTGATGGATATCCAAGCTTCCACAGTGGTCACTTATGTATATCAGCTCATTGGAGATGACGTGAAAGTAGAACGAATTGAATATAAAAAGTCGTAAAGCCAGTCCTGTCTTGATGACTTTTCTGGTTTTGTTGTTGTTGTTCATTCCTCTGTTCAGATCAAGTAATTAAACATTTAAGAGTCACAAAATTCTCTCACTTTTATAATATTTTGCAGTAAAATATAATATCTTTGTTAATATTAATACATAATTGCTCTAAGCTTCTGGTAAACTATGAGAATATATTTAGTTTACAGTTTATGGCTTCTATGAAAAAATGTCCACCACACCGTAAATGGTCATGTGCTGAGAAAAATTTATCCCTGTAAATAACTTCAAAGTTAATATTTGGAACTTTATCCTAAAAGTAGTGCATGAAAAGAAAGAATTTAGACTTTCTTGTATGCATTTTTCTCTTCCCCAGTAATAAACATTTACCTTTCATTTATACTTTATTGATAACCTGTGTTTAATTTTTAAAAACATAAAAATGAAGGACCAAATGAAACTGCAGATAGATGTATTAAAGTGAAGAGGTAGATGAGATAACTTTTCAGAGGTCTCTTCTCACATTCTGTCATCATGTTTTGGGGTTTTTTTTGAGACAGAGCCTCAAGCTGTCACCCTTGGTATAGTGCTGTGGCATCACAGCTCACAGCAACCTCCATCTCCTGGGCCCAAGTGATTCTCCTGTGTCCGCCTCCCAAGTAGTTGGGATTACAGGTGCCCGCCACAATGCCCGGCTATTTTTTGGTTGCAGCTATTGTTGTTTGGCGGGCCCGTGCTAGATTCGAACCGCCAGCTCAGGTGTATGTGGCTGGCGCCTTAGCTGCTTGAGCCACAGGCGTGGAGCCCTGTCATAATGTTTTACTCAGATTTTATTTTCTAAATAATATACTAAATTGACTCTTAAATCAGCAGTGATTCTCTAAACTGTTGCTATTCCCATTTTTCAAGGTTTAACAAAATATATGTGTGTGTGCATGCATATGCATACATAATACATATATATATATATATATATTTTTTTTTTTTTTTAAGACAAGAGTCTTAGCAACCTCAAACTCTAAGGCTCAAGCAATCCTCTTGCTTCAGCCTCTCAAGTAGCTGAGACTATAGGTGCCCGCCACAATGCCTGGCTATTTTTAGTGATGGGGTCTCACTCTTGCTCAGAGCTCCCTCTGGTCTTGAACTCCTGAGTTCAGGCGATCTGCCTTGGCCTCCCAAAGTGCTAGGATTATAGGCATCAGCCACTACACCCAGCCCTAAAATATATTTTTTTTAAAGTTGAGGCTGGGTGTGGAGCTTCACACATGTAATCCTAGCACTCTGGGAGACAGAGGCAATAGAATTGCTTGAGTGCAATAGTTTGAGACTAGCCTGAGCCAGAGTAAAACCTCATCTCTACCAAAAATAAGTTGCTGCTTACATTGAGGAGTTTGAGGTTGCAGTGAGCTATTGAGCCACTGCGCTCTAACCCAGGCAATGGAACAAGACTGTCTCAAAAAAAAAATCTCAGTAGTGTAGCTACTTTTAACTTAGTCTACTTTGTGAATTCAAGCATTTGTGTGGAGTTTTCATGAGATAGGGCAAACCTATATTTAAATTTCTAAGTTGTATTGAGGTAGCATATATTAATCAGGCACCTACTTTGCAAATTACAGCATCATCTCTATTAAACACTATTCTATATCTGGATATTTAAAAGTTTTTCTTAGCCCACTGAAGACAATACTTGTGGAATATTCTTTTTTTTTTTTTTTT